GGGAATGAGGATGGGACTGAGCGGGGAATGATGATGGGAACTGAGCGGGGAATGAGGACGGGACTGACGGGGAACATGATGACGGGACTGTGCGGGAATGAGGATGGGACTGAGCGGGGAATGATGATGGGACTGAGCGGGGAATGATGATGGGACTGTGCGGGGAATGATGATGGGACTGTGCGGGGAATGATGATGGGACTGTGCGGGGAAGGATGATGGGACTGAGCGGGGAATGATGATGATGGGACTGTGCGGGAATGATGATGGGACTGAGTGGGGAATGATGATGGGACTGAGCGGGAATGATGACGGGACTGAGCACCAATGATGACGGGACTGAGCGGGGAATGATGATGGGACTGTGCGGGGAATGATGATGGGACTGAGCAGGGAATGATGATGGGACTGTGCGGGAAATGATGATGGGACTGAGTGGGGGAATGATGATGGGACTGAGTGGGGAATTCCAGGAAAAAAAATTCCCTCTCTAATAGATCCACAGAAGAATAGGAAAACCTGGGAACCACAATGGCCTCGGGCATCACAGAGAAAGAGGAGAACCTGGGAACCACCATGGCCTCGGGCTCCACAGAGAAAGGAGAACCTGGGAACCATCACAGCCTCAAGCTCCACAGAGGAACAGGAGAACCTGAGAACCACCACAGCCCGGGTTTCACAGAGGGACAGGAAGACCTGGGAACAACCACAGCCTTGGCTCCACAGAAGAACATGAGAACCTGGGAACCACCATGGCCCTGGGCTCCACAGAGAAACATGGGAACCTGGGAACATTGCAGCCCTGGGCTCCACATAGGAAAAGGAGAACTTGGGAACCACCACAGCCCAAGGCTTCACAGAAAAAAAAGGAGAACCTGGGAACCACCATGGGCCTGGGCTCCACAGGAGGAATAGAAGAACATGGGAACCACCACAAACAGCCCTGGCTCCACAGTGGAACATGAGAACCTGGGAACCACAAAAATCCCCTTGGCCCCACAGAGGAACAGGAGAAACCTGGGAGCCACCATGGCCTCGGGCTCCACAGAGGAACAGGAGAAACTGGGAACCACAAAATCCCCATGCCCCGGGCTCCACAGAGGAACAGGAGAAACTGGGAACCACCATGGCCTTGGTCTCCACAGAGGAACAGGAGACACTGGGAACCACCATGGCCCGGGCTCCACAGAGGAACAGGAGAAACTGGGAACCATCATGGCCCCGGGCTCCACAGAGGAACAGGAAACCTGGGAACCACCACAGCCCTGGGCTCCACAGAGGAATAGGAGAACCTGGGAACCACCATGGCCCGGGCTTCACAGAGGAAGAGGAGAAACTGGAAACCACCATGGCCCACAGAGGAATAGGGAACCTGGGAACCACCATGGTCCCGGGGAAGAGGAACAGGAGAACCTGGGAACCACCATGGCCCCGGGCTTCACAGAGGAAGAGGAGAACCTGGGAACCACCAGGCCCCGGGCTTCACAGAGGAAGAACCTGGAACCACCATGAACCTGGAAACCACACCATGGCCCTGGGCTTCACAGAGGAACAGGAGAACCTGGGAACCACCATGGCCCCGGGCTTCACAGAGAACAGGAGAACCTGGGAACCACCCAGGCCCTGGGCTCCACAACAGGAAACTGAGGAGAACCTGGGCTGGGAACCGCCACAGCCCTGGGCTCCACAGAGGAACAGGAGAACCTGGGAACCACACAGGCCCCGGGCTTCACAGAGAACCATAGAACTTTGGAACCACAGAGGGAAGAGGAGAACCTGGCCCCATGGGCTTCACAGAGAACCATAGAACCTTGGGAACCACCACAGGAACCACCACAGCCCCCGGGCTCTAGAGGAGAGAACAGGAGAACCTGGGAACCACCTCCACAGAGGAACAGGAGAACCTGGGAACCCCATGGGCTCCACAGAGGAACAGGAGAACCTGGGAACCAACCATGGCACGGCCCCGGGCTTCACAGAGGAACAGGAGAACCTGGGAACCACCATGGCCCGGGCTTCACAGAGGAACAGGAGAACCTGGGAACCACCATGGCCCCGGGCTTCACAGAGGAAAAGGAGAACCTGGGAACCACCATGGCCCCGGGCTTCACAGAGGAAGAGGAGAACCTGGGAACCACCATGGCCCCGGGCTCCACAGAGGAATAGGAGAACCTGGGAACCATCACAGCCCCAAGCTTCACAGAGAACCATAGAACCTTGGAACCACCCCCGGGCTTGGGAACCCCAGGCCCAAGCTCCACAGAGGAATAGAGGAGGGAACCTGGGAGAACCACCATGGCCACCGGGGCTCCACAGAGGAATAGGAGAACCTGGGAACCACCACAGCCCCAAGCTTCACAGAGAACCATACAGAACCTTTCACAGGAACCATAGAACCTTGGATCCATGACCCCGGGCTCCACAGAGGAGCAGGAGAACCTGGGAACCATCACAGCCCCAGGCTTCACAGAGAACCATAGAACCTTGGAACCATCATGGCCCTGGGAGCAGGAGAACTTCACAGAGAGAACCATAGAACCTTGGAACCACCACACACAGCCTTGGGCTCCACAGAGAAATAGGAAACCTGGGAACCTACCACGGGCCCCGGGCTTCCACAGAGGAATATGGAGAACCTGGGAACCACCATGGCCCCGGGCTCCACAGAGGAATAGGAGAACCTGGGAACCATCACAGCCTTGGGCTTCACAGAGAACCATAGAACCTTGGATCCACCATAGGACCCCCGGCTCCACAGAGGAGCAGGAGAACCTGGGAACCACCACAGCCTTGGGCTCCACAGAGGAATAGGAGAACCTGGGAACCACCTTGGCCCCGGGCTTCACAGAGGAACATGAGAACCTGGGAACCACCTTGGCCCCAGGCTTCACAGAGGAAGAGGAGAACCTGGGAACCACCATGGCCCCGGGCACCACAGAGGAAGAGGAGAACCTTGGAACCACCATGGCCCCGGGCAACACAGAGGAAGAGGAGAACCTGGGAACCACCATGGCCCCGGGCTCCACAGAGGAAGAGGAGAACTTGGAACCACCATGGCCCCGGGCTCCACAGAGGAAATAGGAGAACGTGGGAACCGCCTTGGCCCCGGGCTCCACAGAGGAACAGGAGAACCTGGGATCCACCACGGCCCCGGGCTTCAGAGAACCATAGAACCTGGGAACCACCTTGGCCCCGGGCTTCAGAGAACCATAGAACCTGGGAACCACCTTGGCCCCAGGGCATCACGTCTTTTACCCACAGACGGGGTCATACACGATGGATTGTTATTAGTGATTTTTTTTTTTTACTGAAAACCTGCATTTGATACCCGTGTGGGCGCCAATCTCCCGGGACAAGGAAACGTGTCGCTCCCGCCATTGTCTTCTCCGGGGTTCCCACTTCCGGGAAATCTCTCATCTTTGGGGGTTTCTTGAATGTTCTGTGTGATTTGTGACCTGAGTGCAAAGTACAGACACAGTGAAAGGGTTAAAGTGCTGCAAGTGTGGAGAGGAATCTGAGACGTGGAGGATTTCTTCATCACTTCTTGTCGTTGTCACCAGGAGGAAGGTGGGGGTGAATGTCCTCTGTGGGGACACGGTCTGACCCTCCCCCACCTTCTCCGTACACACCCCCCTCCACCCCGGGTCCGCCCACTCCGGACCCAGAGCCTCGAACTCTCCCCCTCCCTCCATTATACAGGGCGGAGCTCGGCAGAGGGAGGAGACTGTGCGCAGTGCCCCTCCCCGTGACTGGCCTCTTCCCTAGCCCCCGCCCCACGCAAACTCCTTACATGGGGAGAGGATAACGGGGCGGGACTAGGAGCTCCACATATTCCGCCTCCGACCCGCCCACCAGCTGTAGTACGCAGGCGCTCCGGCCGTGCGGTGATTTGCGGAGTTCTAACCGGAAACACGTGACCAGAGCGCTCCCGGCATCCTGCGCGCGACGTGCCCGGGAGAAGTATGAGCGGCCGAGAGAAGGAGAGGGCCCGGGGCCACAAGAGAGGAGCGCCCGTACCGCGGGAAGAGGAGGAGGATGATGAGGTGAGGGGCCCCGGAGGGGGGCGTTCAGTATTATCGGCCTTATATATGAGAGGACTGAGGTCACGATGACAGCCGGCTGCTCCCCAGAGGGGGGAGGGGGACACGGAGAAGTCCATGTGCCCCGCCTTCTTCACCCAGTCCCTCCCACTCAGGCGTACCCAGGAGTGGGAGGAGTCTCCACTGGGCAGGCGGGGCTTAGTGGTGTGTCCAGTTGGCTGTAGGGGGAGGAGGGGCTGTGATATGATTGGTTCCTCCCTCTAGGCGGAGCTCTCCATATATGGGAGAAATTTCTGCTGGGAGGAGGGGCTGTGATGTGATTGGCTCCTCCCTCTGGGTGGAGTTCTCCATATATAATCTCTTCAGGGTGGAGCTGGTGGAAGCTGGGAGGAGGGGCAGTGTTTGGCTCCTCCCTCTGGGTGGAGCGCTCTATATATGTTAATAATCTCTTCAGGGTGGAGCTGGTAGGAGGGGCTGTGGTATGATTGTCTCCTCCCTCTGGGTGGAGTGCTCCATATATGGTAATCTCTTCAGGGTGGAGCTGGTGGAAGCTGGAGGAGGGGCTGTGATTGGCTCCTCCCTCTGGGTGGAACTCTCCATATATGGTAATCTCTCTTCTCTGCAGGGCGGAGCTGGGAGGAGGGGCTGTGGTATGATTGGCTCCTCCCTCTGCGTTGAGCTCTCCATATATGGTAATAATCTCTCTGCAGGGCGGAGCTGGGAGGAGGGGCTGTGTATGATTGGCTCCTCCCTCTGCGTTGAGCTCTCCATATATGGTAATCTCTCTTCTCTGCAGGGCGGAGCTGGGAGGAGGGGCTGTGGTATGATTGGCTCCTCCCTCTGCGTTGAGCTCTCCATATATGGTAGTAATCTCTCTTCTCTCTGCAGGGCGGAGCTGGCGGGAGCTGGGAGGAGGCGGATCTGGGGAATGCAGAACGCAAACAGAAGTTCCTGAGACTGATGGGGGCTGGAAAGGTGAGTCACGTGACCGCGTCGTGACCATTCGATTGGACGCCTGGCATGCGGGTTCTTTCTGTCTGTGTCGGAGTCATTCCTTAAATCCCAACTTCATCCAAAACGCTGTCAGAGAGAGAATCCTCCTATCCGGCTGCATCGCCCTCTGTGACCCCACCGGGGGCTTTCACAGCACTTCCTGTGCCTTTGACACCTGTTCCGGGTATGAAGGGAGTGGGTGTCACCAGGACAGGAAGTGACCTGACAAAGCTCCCCCCCCCCCCCCCCCCACCCGCACTCTGTGTCCCCTCTGCAGAGATTGGCAGCACTTCCTGTCCCGGCAGGAATACACCGCCATGTGAAGTGTTGATTGGGGGCGGAGAGCTGACACCGCTGAACTGCAGACCTGGTCTGGGGCAAGTGTGGAGGTCACAGCTGCTCCGAGGAGTGTCCGTCAGGTCACAGCGACAGTCGAGGAACATTCTACACAGGAAAGTCAGCCGCCTCCATGTTGTCTGAATACTTTAACCCCTTCACCCCACCCCCATCATACACCCCTACGGGGCACATTCTGCATTATTGCACCTTCTAAATCGGCGTCTCGTCCGTCATATGTATGTGGATCTGTCCAGAACGTTCCATATCTCTGGAGGGGGACGTGAGAAAAGGTTCCTCCCTTTACATCCGGACACATCTGAGCAATGTTTATAAACAATGTTACTTTGTATCTCTATCTCCCGTCTGATCCATGTTTATAAACAATGTTACTTTGTATCTCTCTATCTCCCGTCTGATCGATGTTTATAAAACAATGTTACTTTGTATCTCTCCATCTCCCGTCTGATCGATGTTTATAAACAATGTTACTTTGTATCTCTATCTCCCGTCTGATCGATGTTTATAAACAATGTTACTTTGTATCTCTCCATCTCCCGTCTGATCGATGTTTATAAACAATGTTACTTTGTATCTCTATCTCCCCGTCTGATCGATGTTTATAAACAATGTTACATTGTATCTCTCTATCTCCCGTCTGATCGATGTTTATAAACAATGTTACTTTGTATCTCCATCTCCCGTCTGATCGATGTTTATAAAACAATGTTACTTTGTATCTCTCCATCTCCCGTCTGATCGATGTTTATAAACAATGTTACATTGTATCTCTCCATCTCCCGTCTGATCGATGTTTATAAACAATGTTACTTTGTATCCCTCCATCCCCCGTCTGATCGATGTTTATAAACAATGTTACTTTGTATCTCTATCTCCCGTCTGATCGATGTTTATAAAACAATGTTACTTTGTATCTCTCTATCCCCCGTCTGATCGATGTTTATAAAACAATGTTACTTTGTATCTCCCGTCTGATCGATGTTTATAAACAATGTTACTTTGTATCTCTCCATCTCCCGTCTGATCGATGTTTATATAAACAATGTTACTTTGTATCTATCTCCCGTCTGATCGATGTTTATAAACAATGTTACTTTGTATCTCTCCATCCCCCGTCTGATCGATGTTTATAAACAATGTTACTTTGTATCTCTATCTCCCGTCTGATCGATGTTTATAAACGATGTTACTTTGTATCTCTATCTCCCGTCTGATCGATGTTTATAAACAATGTTACTTTGTATCTCTCCATCCCCCGTCTGATCGATGTTTATAAACAATGTTACTTTGTATCTCTCTATCTCCCGTCTGATCGATGTTTATAAACAATGTTACTTTGTATCTCTCTATCTCCCGTCTGATCGATGTTTATAAACAATGTTACTTTGTATCTCTCTATCTCCCGTCTGATCGATGTTTATAAACAATGTTACTTTGTATCTCTCTATCTCCCGTCTGATCGATGTTTATAAACAATGTTACTTTGTATCTCTCCATCCCCCGTCTGATCGATGTTTATAAACAATGTTACTTTGTATCTCTCCATCCCCCGTCTGATCGATGTTTTTAAACAATGTTACTTTGTATCTCTCCATCCCCCGTCTGATCGATGTTTATAAACAATGTTACTTTGTATCTCTCCATCTCCCGTCTGATTGATGTTTTTAAACAATGTTACTTTGTATCTCTCTATCCCCCGTCTGATCGATGTTTATAAACAATGTTTTCAGTGTCTGTGCCTCAGTCAGTACACAATACTCATCTGTTGTCTTCCTTCCAGAAAGAACACACGGGTCGCCTGGTCATCGGAGATCACAAGTCCACATCACACTTCCGGTCAGGTAAGGGCCTTCCCGCTGTGGCCCCGCCATCCCGCTGTGGCCCCGCACACTCCCTACAAAGTGCAGGCATGTTCCCAGACCAGGGTGTGAATGGTCACATGGTGTCACGGCTCTATACACACATTTCCGGTATCGGGAATTAGTGGGTGATCTCCAGCATTGTATGTGACCCCTCACTGCCGGATTCAGCAGAGCTTTCATGGAAATGGTCTGCCCCACAGACAGAGCTAAGTTTAGTGCCGGCGTGGGCTGCGGGGGCGGGGAGCCCGGCGTGGGCTGCGGGGGCGGGGAGCCCGGCGTGGGCTGCGGGGGCGGGGAGCCCGGCGTGGGGGGGGCGGGGGCAGGGAGCCCGGCGTGGGCTGCGGGGGCGGGGGCAGGGACCGGCGTGGGCTGCGGGGCGGGGAGCCCGGCGTGGGCTGCGGCTGCGAGGGCAGGGACCGGCGTGGGCTGCGGCTGCGGGGGCAGGGACCGGCGTTGGCTGCGGGGGCGGGGAGCCCGGCGTGGGCTGCGGGGGCAGGGACCGGCGTGGGCTGCGGGGGCAGGGACCGGCGTGGGCTGCGGGGCGCCCGGTGTGGGTTGCGGGGGCAGGGACCGGCGTGGGCTGCGGGGCGGGGAGCCCGGCGTGGGCTGCGGCGGCGGGGGCAGGGACCGGCGTGGGGGGGCGGGGGCAGGGAGCCCGGCGTGGGCTGCGGGGGCGGGGGCAGGGACCGGCGTGGGCTGCGGGGGCGGGGAGCCCGGCGTGGGCTGCGGCTGCGAGGGCAGGGACCGGCGTGGGCTGCGGCTGCGGGGGCAGGGACCGGCGTTGGCTGCGGGGGCGGGGAGCCCGGCGTGGGCTGCGGGGCGGGGAGCCCGGCGTGGGCGGGGCAGGGACCGGCGTGGGCTGGGTTTAGGGGCCTGGAGTTTGGCTATGATGCAGGAACTGGCATCTGTGTGCAGGACCAGGTGTTGACCCCGACATTTGGCTGTGCTGCGGGGCCCAGCGTTGGCTGTCTGCGGGGCCCGTCATTGTTTCCTCTGTGGTCATTGAGTACTGGGGTCCCCAGAGTCCTTCCTGCTCCTCATACAACATGAAATCTATGGGGGGGGGGGGGTTTATGTACTAACATCGGAGAGTGTGAAGTCGCGTCACTTCTGCATAGAAACCAATCGGCTTCCAGGCTTTATTGTCAAAGCGTCACGGTGGAAGCTGATTGGCTGCACCGCATTGTGGGGCTCCAGGTGACTCTTCTTCTCTGACAGGAGCCGAGGATCGGAAGATGAACGATGAGTTGGAACATCAGTACCAGCAGAGTGTGGACAGCTCCATGTCCGGACGGAACCGGCGGCACTGCGGTCTGGGCTTCAGTGAGGTACAATATGGCTGCGGGCCACTGCCGGTCTTATTATTATTGGGGGGGGGGAAGGGGGTGACACTTTTATACTGTCAGGTGTCAGGTGACAGAGTACGCCATTGGGTGTGGGGGAGGGGTGGCATCCATCCGTCTTGACAAAGAGGTGCGACGGTCCATGAAACCCGCCGGCAGTGGCATTGGTGTCCTGCAGGGGGCCGGCCTCTGCTTGGTGGGGGGGGGGGGGGTGTAGCGCGCGGACTCTGCGGGGGGGGGGGGGGGGGGTGTAGCGCGCGGACTCTGCGGGGGGGGGGGGTTTTTGTTAGCGCGCGCGGACTCTGCGGGGGGGGGGGGGGGGGGGGGTGGTGTAGCGCGCGGACTCTGCGGGGGGGGGGGGGGGGGGTGTAGCGCGCGGACGGACTGGAGCGCTGCGGTATCTGCGGGGGGGGGGGGGGGTTGGTGCGCGCGGACGCTCTGGTTCCGGGGGGGGGGGGGGTGGAAGCGCGCGGACTCTGCTGGGGGGGGGGGGCGCGGTGGACTCTGCGGTGCGGGGGTGGAGCGCTCGGACTCTGCGGGGGGGGGGGGGGGGGAAATCAAGGGTTGGAGCGCGCGGGGGGGGGGTTGGAGACTCGCTGCTGGTTCCGGAAGGGGGGGGGGGGGGGGTTGGAGCGCGCGGACTCTGCTGGGGGGGGGCGGGCGGAGCGCGCGGGACTCTGCTGGTGCGGGGGGGGGGGGGGGGGCGGAGCGCGCGGACTCTTCACCCGGAGCTCCAGCCTAAAACTGAATTTAGTAAATTGTACAATCAGATTGTATTGGTTGTGGGAGGGGGGGGTCCGCCGCCCTGTTCTGGCGGGGGGGAGGAGGGGGGGTCCGCCGCCCTGTGTGGTGAGGGGGGGTCCGCCGCCCTGTGTGGTGGTGAGGGGGGGTCCGCCGCCCTGTGTGGTGGTGGGGGGGGGGGGTTCCTCTGTTCCTCGCTCCTGAATTTTGCGTTTCATCGTTCTTTTCAGCCGAGCAGTTCGGAGGAGAAGCCGCCCCTCCCCCACCTGAAGAGGCCCCCGCAGCAGACAGACATTCAGATAAAAGTAGCAAAGAACTCCGTAACGACCGCGAGAAAACGCCGAGTGCGTCAGCCAAGACCGCGGACAAAGCGCCCAGCGATGAGGACGGCTCCTCCGAGCGCAAATCCAGCAAATGCAACTACAAAATGCAGTTTGTGAAGTCAAGCGGCTCCTAACCTGCATGTGTGGGAGGAGCCCAGATCGCAGGTGGGCCAGAGGTAACCTCCCCCTCCCCCACCCCTTATTCTCACTTCCTACCTGTCATCCTGTTCTGGGTGGAGCTGTATACAATGTGCGCCCTCATGTGGAGAGACCCCCAGTACTTTCAGGATTACCTTCCTCTGCTCCTACAAGGAAATCCTGAGAACA